GGGAGAGGGGAGGGGAGGGGGAAGTAAGTAGAGGGAGGAGGAGGAGAAAGAGGAGGAGGAGGAGTTGGAGAGGGAGGGAGAGAGGGAGAGAGACAGACTGGTAGTGGGAGAAAGCTCAGAGTAGAGTAAGCAAAAAGAAAAAAGTAATGGGAACAGTTACGTTTGATTAGTTAAAAAAAAAAAACCTCCCCTTTCCTCCAATCAGTTACTACTTCTGCCAAAGATATACTACTTCAGTATATCTTTTATCATCTTCTTTGACCGCCCCCCACCCCCGAATCTGCTATCCTTAACCCGTCGTCATCCATTTTACAATATTTATGGAGTGCCTCTATGTGCCAGGCACTGTTCTGGGCACTGAGGATATAACAATGAACAAGACAGGCCGAGTCTCAGTTCCTATTCTGCACTATAATAATACCGATACTCCAAGCTGAATTCCCAGCTTTTGGTCAGCCCTACTCCAATCCATCCTCCACACTGCCACCAGAGAGACTGCAAAGATACAGATCTGGTCCGGACACTCCCTTGCTTAAATCCCCCTGTAGTATGAATTCCCATCGTGCTCAGAATAGATTTCAATCTCCGTAGCATCCTGTTCAAGGCCCGTCACTAACTGTCCCGCACAGCCTTATCTCTCAGCCTTCACCTTCACGCACTCCGCACTAAGCTACAGTAAATTACTCAAAATCTTAGATACACACATAGAAATAAGCACCTGCTGAAAGTACGTGGCTGGAACTCCATCCCTATTTCATCCTTGTACACTGAAACCTCAGAAAAGCCCTGGTTACCCCCCTCCAGCCTTCGAGTCTAAAGAACAGCGCTGGCGACACACTCCTCCACAGCCCTGGCATCCTGCGAAGGCTGTGCTCACTCCCACCACAGCGGGAGCAGTAAAAGGAGGGGCTTCGCGGGGCCTCCGGGCCGCCATCTTGGCTGAGTTGGCCGGAAGTGGTCCGGCAAGTCGGCTTGCCGGCGCGCACTGAGACTGCGCGGTGGCCTCGCCGCGCGACTTTGGCGCCGCCGGCGTTGCGGCCGTCTCGAACCCTCTGCGGTGCAGCCCGGAAGCCACAAAGTCCCCTCTGTCATCTCTCCTAGTCCTACTCCAGCCGTCCCAGCCGCTGTCCAACTCCCCGGCCGGGGTTTGTGCAGCGGCTTGCACACCCCTCGGCCAGTGTACGCGCTTTGCACCTGCCTGCCCGAAAACATGTTGCAGAAACCAGAGAGCGGGGGTCTCCCTATCCCTCAGGGGGAGGGGGAGGGGGAGATGGATGGTGGCCACGACAGTGAGACCCAGGCCCTGACCGCCTCGCAGGAGGTGGCCCCGAGCCCCCTCCTGCAAGAGAGCCCCGAGGAGGACCTTGGCGCTGTAAGGGAGGAGGGGGCTGCGGAGCCCTCCATCACCCTGAAAGGTGCGAGGGCTTTGGCAGCCAAAACCTTGGCCCGGCGCAGGGTTGCCTCCGTCTGGATCAGACGGTGGCCGAGTTGGTGCAGTTTCTGCTGGTGAAGGACAGGAAGAAGAGTCCTATCCCCCTCTCCGAGATGGTGAAATACATTATCAGAGACCTAAGGGATCTGTTCCCTGAGATCATCGCAAGGGCCGCAGAGCATCTGCGGTATGTCTTTGGTTTCAAGCTGAAACAGCTTGACCGCAAGCACCACACTTATATCCTGATCAACAAACTAAAACCTCTTGAGGAGGAGGAGGAGGAGATGGCCCCAGACTGGGTCTTTTAATGATGATGTTGGGCTTTATCTACATGAAAGATAATAGCACCAGGGAGGCACAGGTCTGGGAGATGCTGCGTTGGTTGGAGGTGCGTCCCTCAAAGTATCACTCCCTCTTTGGGTGCCCGAGGAGGCTTATTATGGAAGATTTCGTGCAGCTGAGATACCTCAATTACCGGCTTGTTTCTCACACCAATCCACCGGCATGTGAATTCTCTTGGGGTCCCCGAAGCGACCTGGAAACCAGCAAGATGAAAGTCCTGGGGTTCGTGGCCAAGCTCCATAAGAAAGAACCCCAACACTGGCCGATGCAGTACCGTGAGGCCCTGGCAGACGAGGCTGACAGGGGCAGTGTGAGGGCTAGGGCCAGGGCTAATGCTAATGCTGGGGCCGGCATCCACCCCTGGTGAGGGCCAGCCAGAGGTGGGGCGGGGGGAAGTTGGGTATAAAAGCTACTGTCTGAGTCATAAGTAGACTAGATGGGGAGAAGGTCGTTATTTCTGAAGCAATTGTATTTGTGTAACTAGGATTTAGGTCTTGTATCTTGCTAAGTTTTGTTACGTTTAATACTTAAATTGATGTTTATAAATGAGATTGGTCTACTTTTTCCTGTAGGATTTTGTTGTAGAGTTTTGCTGCTTTTGTAAAATTAATTGAAAAACTTTACATTTTATTCTGTGATCTTGAACAAATTATGGAGCACTGAGTGCTGTACTTAAATGGTTTGAAGGAACTCACCAGTATGATGATCTGGTACCAGGGAAAAATATAGCTGATTGGTATCTAGCTTTCCAACAGTTTTTGTCTACTGTGCAAAGAAAAAAGACTGACATTTAACTCTGTTTGCTTAGTTATGGTAGTAGCTGGGGGGGAAATGCAATAACCTGGTACACTTAATAAACATTTGTTAAGCAACTTCTTTTGTGTGATGCACTGTTGGGGGTATTTGGGGATTAAATGCTGAATAAGATAAAGGTCCTACTTTTCAGAACTGGACAGTAAGTAAATAAACCAGAAATTACAGTGCGGTGAGTTGAAGGCTACAGAGGGACACCCAACCCAGCTGGGGTGATTGGGTGAGGCTTGCCTGAGGTTACCTTTAGTCGGACTTCAGAGTAGGGAGGGAGAAACGATGCGGTGGGTGGAAAAGAGGGGAAGGAAAAAAGGAAGAAGAGTTGTGGGTGGGAGATGGTATTAAAAATGACTTAAGATCATAGATGCTCTTCAGTAAGATGGGAAGACATGATACATGGCAGATCTGGAAAACATCCAACCTTTGCCAGCGCCCTTGGTTCAGGGCAGTTTATTACAGTGCACACGTAATGATGGTGACTGTTAGCATTTTGGTCTTCTCCATCTCCCTTCTCTCAATCTCTACAAGCTTTCCTCTTCTACCAAAGTCCTCAGAGACCAAATACTTTTTTTTTTTTTTTTTTTTTTACAAACAGGGAGGGTGAGACACAGATGGGGTCACAGGAAAAGTTAAGGGAGAATTTGCTCCCAACAGTTCAGCTGATGTCTGCACTCTGCGGGCCTCTCACTGTTGTGGCCCCTCCCGCTCCGGACGCGCAGGCTCAGCGGCCATGGCTCACGGGCCCAGCCGCTCCGCGGCATGTGGGGTCTTCCCGGACCGGGGCAGGAACCCGTGTCCCCTGCATCGGCAGGCGGACTCTCAACCACTGCGCCACCAGGGAAGCCCAGAGACCAAATACTTTAACAATTCTGGAACGGTAGGTAGTGTGGAGGGCACGTGTGATGTTCTCTACTGCCAAGAAGTCTTCAAGGGCTCTCCCTTGGCACCAGGAAGCCCAGCACCCTCATCCATGTTTCTGCTTGCCACTTGCCACCTGCCATCTCCCATTAGGAGGAGAACTGTAAGGCATCTTTCACATTCTTAACTACCCATGAAGAGTCATCTTCGAAAGCAGCTTGAGCCTCTGCAGTGGCTGCCACCTTCACTCTGGGGATGAATTCTGTAGAATGGGTACATAGAGTAATAAGGAACCTAGAGGAGTGGTAACCAAACCAGAACTGGGTGTAGGATTATGAAACCGTCCCCTTACAGCTGCCATATTACAGAAGAGCTGCTTTCTTCTCTCTTTACTGCTGGTTTTGTGGGTGTGTGTGCTTTCAGTTGCGTCTGAATGACATATCTGAGTATGTTAAGGTTAGCATGGAATACAAATACTTTGGGACACAGGCCCAGGGATCCAACCAATCACAGTGAGACCAAAGGTTATAAGCTTATGGGTAAAAAAGTTCACTAATGATTAAAAATATGATTTCTGGGCAATTTATAATTCATTAAACAAAAGAACTGAGTACCCACTATATGCCAAGGACTTTGCTGGGTTCCAAAGATTAAAAAGGGAAAACCGTCTTCACCCTCAAGGAGCAATAGTGATAATTTCTCACATTTGCATTTTCTCACAGCTGCTGAGAGGTCAGCAGTGTGTGCACCTGAGGGTCTGATTACTTGGCGATTTGCTTACAGTCACTTGGCAAAAGACAGCACCAAGACTAGAACCCAAGTCCCTTGCCTCCCGATGTGTTTCATTGTAGTACATTGTTCCCTGTGTCTGGCTTCCAATATATTGTATGTGATTTTATTTATCACAACTCCAAAAATCAAGTGAGGCATGTGTGATTATTGCCAGTTGCCACTGCAGTCCTTATGGGAGTGAGTAGAGTAGAAATGCTTCCCATTTCACTGTCAGCAGAGGTGACTTTGCTGAAAGTCAGACATATATTTCACAGCAAGACAGGACTAACAACTACCATTTATTAAACATCTGCTATAGGCCAAAAGCGTTTCCCCCCTACTTTTCACAACCGTATTGCAAAGTGGGTATTACAAAATACCTCCATTTTACAGATATTAATACTTGCCATTTATTCAATACGTAATATAAGCCAGATTTTCAATGCTTTACATATGTTTTAATGATTTTTATAACAATCTAACAGGATAGATATTATCTGTTCCATCTTGAACTATGCACACTGAAACTCAGAAGCTGTGAAGTTCTCATAGATGGGATATGATATAACAAGGATTGGAACTGAACCCTGACTTAGTCAAAACTCCACACTTTTCACTATCTTACATTTCCTTCTCCTTGGGACTCCTTTCAGACTTGGGGACTCGTGTTCTTTCTTCCAAACATGGCTGTCTCTCTGGAGATGCAAACAAGGGTTGTATAAGCAAGGTAATTATGACAAGACCCTGGGCTGTGGGAGGGTAAAATAAAGTTGGAGAATTACCTGCGAACATTGGTCCCAGCTCTGCCTACCCGCAGTGTTCTCAGAGTGCTGACTACGTGTAGAATGTGCATTTTTACTCAAACTCAGCACTTTTTGCCCTCGTGGGCCATGTTTCCTAAATCTTCTTTTGTCTGCTCTCTCCACTAAGCCTCAAATTAAGTCTTTCAGGCCATGAAACAATCAAATAACATTTCTGGACCTGCAAGTATGATTCCCAGCATTGTTTCCAGATGGTACAAAGGGCTGGCAGAACTTGTACCCTTGCCTCAGGATGAAAGACCTCCCATTTCACAGATGCCATCATCAACTTCTCGGAAGTACTGAAAGTGTGGCCTCTGGGCCCATGTGTAGAGCAGACATTGGCCATGGTGAGGGCAAGAGATGAATTCTCCTGTTGCTTATGGTCATTCACATGAGGGAAAAGGAAGGCCTGGATCCCTGGTCTCCTTCCCCTTCAGGCACAAACAGAACTAGATCTTCCCGGGTGAAACCATGTGGGTGGGAGAGCAAGGAGATGTCGGGGGAGTGATGGCAGATGGATTACTCCAAATCATACGTACTATACCACAACTAGATAGCAAAGCCAGTAAAGGGAATTCCCTTGAAAACTATAAATGAAGCCTTAGACAATGGGAAGGTCTCACTCAGTTCAGCCACAGACTCTGCAGGGATTTTTCTTTTTCTTTTTTTGGCTGCACTGGGTCTTCGTAGCTGCGCATAGGCTTTCTCTAGTTGTGGCGAGCCGGGGCTACTCTTCGTTGCGGTGTGCGGGCTTCTCATTGAGGTGGCTTCTCATTGCGGAGCACGGGCTCTAGGCTCACGGGCTTCAGTAGTTGTGGTTCGTGGGCTCTAGAGCGCAGGCTCAGTAGTTGTGGCACAAGGGCTTAGTTGCTCTGAGGCATGTGGGATCTTCCCAGACCAGGGCTCAAACCTGTGTCCCCTGCATTGGCAGGCAGATTCTTAACCACTGCGCCACCAGGGAAGTCCCTCTGCGGGGATCTTGACATTCACCAGAGTCGGGACTTTTGACCCACTGGAACTTGGAGAATGGGTGTTTGGAAACAGGCTCCGGTTAATTACAGCCCCAGCATCTAGCAGGCACATAGTGCTCTGGAGGTGGCAGCTCATTTGCAGCCCCTGCAAACCAGGCCTCAGTGCACAGGCTCAATCACAGTTTCCACTTGAGATAATTATGCCTCATGCCTTGGTCTTGGTGGCAACTGATGCTTGTGCAAATTATTCCTCAAATTGTGTAGCGCAGCAGAGATGGCAACAATTACCTCCCAGCAGAAATATAGTGTACTGACTAAAGAGGTTAGGTATTCTGAAAAGTGTCCCAATCGAGGCCTTATAAAAGTCATGACTATGTGACCTCGAACAAGGAATTCTAAACTCTGAGGACTGAAGTTCTAGGAAAGTTTAGATTGGAGGGTGACTGGAGTTAGTGGTTAGCTACAATCCACACCCACAACACATCCTACCAGCTGACTGCAAACCCTGCCAGTTCCTGGGCTACTCATGACTGATGACAAGATCAGCCAACAGTTATTAAGCCTTATCTGTCAGGCATGGTGCTAAGTATGATAATCAAATTGGCTCATGCAACTACACAACACCCCCATGAGGCAGATTCTACATTTGCCATCATTACAGTACTGTAGGCAAACCACAAAGAAAGAATTCCTTTCATTGTGTCAATGCGCGAGTTAAAAGACCTGCCCAAAGTCATGGCATAGCTAGTGAACCGCAGATCCTGAACATGAACCCGAATCTCCTGGGTTCTTGCTGTAATTCCACCTTGCCGGTCTGCAGAAGGTTCTCAGGGAGCAACCAACCTCCCTTTGGGAGAATGGGGCTGCGGGAGAAAGAAAGAAAACCTCTGGGCCTGCTCATTTATACCATAACCTAGAGCGCCCACAGTAGAGGCAGTGAGGCAGGGAAGGAACAATTTGGCTTCTCTGATTGCAGGGTTTGGGTCACCAGAAGGGATGCAAACTGGGAGAGGAGCCCACTTGGAGCAATGCTGGCTCAGGACACCAGCACTGTGGTTCCTGCAGTGGGGGAAATTGTGCCCAAGACGCAGAGAGGTGTCAGCACAGTGAGAGACAACCATGAGGACAGAGGAGTCTCCTACAGTGGAAAGCTCCTGGCCCCTGGAGCAGCCAGATCTGCATTCCACCCCACTCTGCCATGGGAGAGTGTGTGCCTTCACCTGAGTTAAGCTAACCCTCTGAGCTTTGGTTTCCTCGTCTTTCCAACAGAGATATTGCTGTGTACCTCAAAACACTGTGAAGACGACGGAATGAGGGAATTACTAAGCACCTAGCACAGGGTCTGGTACATGGTAACTAGTGTTATCATAAACTGTATTCACTCATTCAACAAACACTTATCTTCTGTACATACCAGGCATACATCCTGGTGGTGAGCTTACAGAAGAGAACAATACAGACAAAAATCCTTGTCGTCTAGAGCTTACAGATGGGTGTGAGGAGACATAATAAAGAAGCACAATACATAGCATGTCAGATGGGGATCTATGTTGGAGGGAGAAATGAAGCAGGAAAGGGGGAAAGAGGGTTGGGAGGGTGTGCAATTTTAAATAGCCTGCTCAGGGAAAGCCTCGTTGAGACATTTGAGTCAAAACTGA